TATGAACTGTTTGATACGTCGCGAGTTGCGGCCTATTTACCCCCTATAAAAGCACGCGTTTTCGGATTTTTGCTTTCACACGTTGATTCATACACATCTCCGCTTCTTTTGACTCTTTACCTGGGATTCTACACCTTCAGAAGCAGCACAAATCGTTGCACTATTGCAAGAAGGGCTCAGCCAGCGGGCTGTCGCACGTCAGCGCCACATAAGCCAGTCCTGGGTTTCGAAAGTTTTAAGACGCTTTCGGGAGACTGGTGGCTTTATCCCGAGACCAAGTTCTTATGTTACAGGAAATGTATGAAATCCGTCATTGTATACAATTCCTAGGATTTGTGTATAAGTCCTAAAATCACCCGGAAATGTGTGATGTAAATTATATTAGACACATTTCCTAGGAAATTTACACATTTCCTAAACAGCAATCGGAAATGTAATTAAGATTTCTTTTTTTTTCTCCGAAACTTAAAAGGCGCTACCGCGCCGCGACCGCTGTGTATGTGTAAGGTCGCAAGTCTAACCTAACCTAACCGAGACTTTGTTATCCAGCTACAGGAGTACTAAAACCTTCATGCCAATAATATTTTAATAAAAGGGATGTTAAAATTAGAGTTTTCCAATTCTTCAGCGTAATATGCGTGATGCCGAAAGAAAGGTATGCCAATAGGCAAATATTTTTTTCAGCCAAAGTATAATAGTGCGAAAACAACTTTCAGGCTAAACAATAATAGTTGTGAGTTAAAAGTACCTATGGGCCAATGTGGTTTGGCTAAATGAAATTTTAGGCGTACTGAGGGGCACCCGATCACACGACCGCGCTTGTGCCGCTTAGTTTTATACATTTCCTAATACAATACTGGAATTCTATAAAATTCCTAGGACATGTCCTAGGATATGTGCGTATTAAAAAATCTCTGAAGCAATATTTTATACATTTCCTAAATAGCTTCGGAATTGTATACATTTCCTAGGAATAGTATACAATTCCTAAAATTCATACATTTCCTGTAACATATAAAAAAATAAGACTCAGATGGCGGTTTTAACCGCACCAATTTCGTTTCGTCACAGTGACTTTAATTTATTCATAATTAAAATCACAATAATATTTTCTTTTACTTTATTATTTATTTATAATCGCTGACGTTTATTTCTTAACAAAATATCAACTAAGTAATAGCCACCGTTTACCCCTTAGGGGTGGAGTTTCGTAAAATCCATTCTTAGTGGATGTCTATACTCTATTAAGGAACATATCTGCCAAATTTCAAGTTTGTAGGACGTAGGTGTTATACTTAGTTTCTGAGATCAAAAAATCAAAATCAAAAATATTTATTCAGTTTAGACCACAAGTGGCACTTATGAACGTCAAATTTAAATATTAAAAAAAAGAAAAGGTAGCCCTTATGGGGCACCTTACATGTCTCCTTATTTTTTGGGCCCTACCAGAAGATTTCGTGATGAGTAAATCAGTCACTGACCTTTCGCTTTTATTGTATAATATTTAGATAGATTACAATTTTCATTATATCCCTGACTTATGAAATCAGTTTCCCATACAAACTTCTATTTCCTATTTCACAGCCTATACCAAAATGTATTACCGGTTACATGAATACTCAACACACAAACAACTATTACCTTAAAATAATTAGTTCAGATTTTGCAGTCCAGTTTCGCTAGTGCTGGTGACTAGTGGCCCAACTAATGTGCTACAGTGATAGCTTGTATATTAGAGGTACAAATAGAATTGTAGCCAAATAGGTAACCCACATTGGTCCAACTAACCCTCCGAAAATCCAGACTGTATTCGCCACTGGCGGCCAGTAAAGCTAGAATCAAACAACTAAACCGAGGCCTGCTCTATGCAGTAAATAAACTCATTTCTCGTTCATTGAATTTATACTACTTTGCCTGGCCCATTCCCATTTTATTTGGGGTCGGCCCTCCGCGTCATGCGTCTCCAGGCGGCTCGGTCCTGGGTTGTCTTACTGTTAACTTGGGCTTCTTTGAGGTCGTTATTGATTACGGACATTCATGTAATTCGGGGTCTTCCTCGTCCGCGGGGCTTAGTCATTCATTGAATTCATTCATTCATTCGTTCATTGAATTTATACCCACCATAAAGTCTATCGTTTATGTTATTTAGTTTAAGTAGGTATAAAACTATCAATTATAAACCGCATACTATTCAGTAAAATACCTTGACCCATTCCTGCCGTCCGCGGCAACAAAAAAGTGATTAATGTCTATATTGCGAAGCTTCTGCAAACCCACTTCATTCAACCGATCAGTTTGTAAATTTATTTATAAAGTGCTCGAGTTAGAAAATCTGAACAACTGTTTCACTGCAATATAAACTTTATCCCATTAATAGTAGAGTTGGATTGATGTTCCATCGGCTTCTCAGGTAACATAAAGTTTAAAATGCGATGCGCTTAAACTTGTCAAAAGGAAACCATATCAAGTTCGAGTGAGATTAAGTTAGCTTGTTAGTGTATCAAAGGCGACGCTAACTTGAACTTGGAAACACGACACTTCAATGCGCTGCGCAGAGAAAATGTAGAGATTCGGCAGCTTTACACAAAGCAAATGCCGATATAAAGAGGCCTTTAGGCGTCATTTTGGACTTTGTTACATTTTCTACTATGTCTTTTAATATCCTACTAATATTATAATCCTACTAATATTATAATCCTACTAATATTATAATCCTACTATTATAATATTATAAATGCGAAAGTTTGTGTGGATGTCTGGATGTCTGGATGTTTGTTACTCTTTCACGCAAAAACTACTGAACGGATTTTGTTGAAACTTTTCAGTATTATTGTTTATAACCCAGATTAACATATAGGCTATAATTTATGACTACATGTGACAAACTAAATTTCAATAAATAAATAAGACGTGGGTAAAAGGTGCCATCTATCATCATTGGTGAAAATCTACAGTGCTGGACAAATAAATTTGACGTTCGTAAATATTCATGCGAGCGAAGCCGTGAAACGCCATCTATCAACATCATTAGTAATTAAATGAGGTCCACGCGTACGAAGTCGCGGGCGGCCGCTAGTTTAAAAAATACAGTAAGTAATCCTATTTGTCAAATATTGACATGGACATAATATATTATGATTTCGCCATGACGTATAGACATTTTGGATGGAGACAAAATAATACTTACGAAAACAAGCCATAATAAAAATAATAACGGCAGCACTTCGCTTAAAAACTGTTTTTAACCCTTTTCTTGGCATTGTGCATTTATAGATACGTTGACTAAAACAAAAATATGGGGGAGAAACCAAAAACTATTTTCAAATGTTTTTATAATATAACGTTAGCCCAAATACTACAGATTGTGATGCACAGTATAGAATCGCTACAAGCTGCACAGATTTAACAGTAATATGCAAAATGTCAGACCGTTGACAGGCGCCTACGCACCGGCTGATAATTTTTATTATTTTCGGTGTTTTTTTAAAAGAATATTGGTGATTATTTGTAGTAATATGGATAGTAAATAAACGTTTCTTGATGATAGTGCTGTTTTTTCATCCCAAAACTTGTATAATTATTCTTGTACGATGCGGATTGTCCGAATGTATCTCTAAATGCACATTGTCAGATACGTAATAATTTACTTTCAATTTTGAATGTATCTCTAAAGACACATTGCCAGGTTCTCATTGACTCTATTCTAGGATTTTTTCATAGATTTTATCGCATAAAAAAGGGATTACTAATGTTTGGCCAAAAAACGTTTCCCAAATTATCACATCGCAAACAACGTTTCGCAAATTTTCATTTGGCAAATTCTCATTTGGCAAAACAACTTATAGCAAACTTTTAATTCGCAAATGCCGTTTTTGGCATATTATTGTTTAGCAAATTATTGTTTGGCAAAGTATGTTTTGGCAAACGTTTCATTTGGCAAAAATATTTCACGATACACTATTTACAAAATAATTTGATTGGTGCTTAGAATGGAATACAAATTAACTTCATTAATTTGTTTTAAATTAATTTTCATATTTCATTCTTTTTATCGAAATTTCCAAATGATTCATTAACAATAGAGGTGATTCTAGCGCTCGGCGGCCGCTGCCGCGACACGCTTCGCTCGCCTTCGCGCGTTAAGGGTCACTGTTCTAACCTAACCTAACCTACTATTTTATGCAATACCTACTTTCTGCAACCATACTATTTTCTGCAATCTCTTTGTTTTACATAAAATTCTTGTGAAAACCATGATCATCTGCCTTATGGTTTGATTTGTGGGTAACGGTGGGTAAGTATGTGAAGTGTCAATTTGACCAAATAAATTATTTGGGATATAATATTTGGCAAAATAAAACATTTGCTATATAAACATTTGCCAAGTAAAATTTGGCCAAATGATAATTTGACCAAATGAATTAGTTGCGAAAAGTACAGTTGCTAAAAGTTCATTTGGGAAATGAAACTTTGGCGATAAGTTGTTTGCGAAGTGAAATTTGGCGAAAAGTAATTTGGCCAAACGGAAGGATACCATAAAAAAGGGATATGTTATTAGTTAGTAATATTTAAAGCTGTAAATTATAATATACTGATGTGAGTTTTAATTCATTTACTAAAGAATGGTTGTTTTTTGAACAACTTAGTGCTGCAGCAACAAAATCAGACGAGCAAAATGCTGGTTATGGTTCCTAAATCTCGAACCAGGACAAAAGTCAGTAGCGGTGACACTTCAGCTGATGAATTAGAAGCCGCACTTAGCCTCCTGATTATCTTGGGTGGTTATTTTCCTACTCCAACCAACCCAAATCACCCCAAAAAGCGAGCAGCCTGTCCAGGCTGCTGCATGCATTTGGTTATAAAGCTGGTGATTGAAGAATTTTAGCCAGTTCGACTGCTGCATAGTTTCCCTGAGAATTCCAGAGATCCATTTCCGCTATCTTGTGTTTGCACTTTACGTTGGATATCTAATTATCTTCAATCAAAGACGTGAACACAGTTCAGTACCAGTTGGCATCAATACCCCTGGTATTTCTTTGATGGTCTTGCAAGATTCCTATGTGTTCTATCTGCATTTGCTTCTCCTGGATGGTAAGAGGGGTCTGAGGTTCAGGAGGTACTCCAACGACGCTGATGGAGTGGTTGTCATACATCCAAATGCAGCTATACTTTCAAGGTGTTACATACTTTGAAGTGTTTTTTTTACTTTGTTTTCAGTTTTTTGTAAAAGATATAGATTTTTTGTTTTTCAAATAAGGAATATCTTAAGGTTTTGTAGTAATTTTCATTTAAATAACTACTTTATACTAACAAATAAAACATATTTTAATTTACTACAAAGCTGGCAATGTGCACTTAAAGATACATACTACATTTCCAAAACTACATACCTAAGATTTTTTTTCGTATTTTTTACATAATTTTTACTCATCATAAATCCAATATTTATAGTGTAAATCACAAATATTAACCAAAACCGTCGTTGCCAAGTATAGGGTTAATATTTAACCTTTATCGAGACTTACCGTTTCCCAACTTTATCGAGACTGCAGTTTTTTACAGAATGCTTTTACGAAATGTTCTTCACGATTTCATGTTCCGTAAAATACAAAACATATTTCAAAAAGAAGTTTGTTGTGTTGTAAGCTTTTTAACCTTTAAAATTTACAAATTATTAAATGAACGAAACCAACTGTAAAAAATAAATGAAAACTAGACAGTTAATTTGATCAGATCCCACGAAAGTCATTGAAAAGTTCTGAAGAGAAATATTTTTATTTTTACTTTTACAATTTTTCCTCCCGAGCCTTCGCCCGCGTAGAATTTTGTCTGTCACAAAAAAACTTTATCGCGCGCGTCCCTCTTTCAAAAACCAGGATAAAAACTATCCTTTGTCCTTTCCCGGGATTCAGACTATCTCTGTGCCAAATTTCACCAAAATTGGTTCAGTTGTTTAGGCGTGAAAGCAAGACAGACAGACAGATTTATTTTCGCATTTATAATATTAGTAAGTATAGATGATGAGCCATTATCTCACCAACCGTGTGAAACACTTGATTATGACAAATATTTGCTTTTGGCACATTTGCAAACTCATCTCAAAATATTTTCCAAACCTTGTTTATTGGTATGTTGCAAATTAATGAGGAGTAATCCCGTAGCTATCCACGGGATTATTCCTCATTAAATCCTGTTACCTTTATAACTATCACCTTGTTATTACGAAGTTGATTTTAAATGAAATCAGTATAATATTATGTGAATAGACGCTATTTTCGCATGAAATATTAAATAAAACTTTTATACTGGAATCAGAAATGTAATATCATAAAGTGATATCAAATATAAACAGCAAAGCAGCTGGAAAATTCCACGTATTCGCGGTAAATACTTTGGAGATTTTCCATATCTGAAATAGAGAAAAAAATATCACCAGACAGTCGAGTTTTATAGTTTCTAGGAAAAATGAATCTGTAAACCTGACTTTTCAGGTTTAACTTATTCCGACAACCTTACTCTCGGCATGTAAATATAATTGTATAATGTACTCGTATTTTGTTTTCAAATAATTCTGGCCTTAAATTATTATCTCTAGAATTAGATATTTAAGCTTATAGAGATACAGCACATTAAAATTAAACACTATTAACTACTTAATGGCTCAGGTAATATTAAGTACTAAAATTTCGTTTATTGCAAGTGCTTGAGGTGACTAGACGGTTCTCATTTCATTTCACTATAGTCTATCCAATATAGCTTGATTAGAATGACAGCTGCCATCAAAAGTAACGACATAACTTTGTAGTAGCGATCAATGAGAGCTAAATATTGGCGGACAAGAAATAATTCATGTCTGACCTACAAACAATATTTTCGACGACAGTGCTTCCAATAAAAATGTTAATTTCGTGTAAATGCAGCGTTAAATTACACCAATAAGTAGTAATTCGAAATTATAAAAATCAAGCTAGAGTATTAACGACGTCTCTACAAGGTTATCTCGAGTTACAAAAATGTTATTGTTGGGACATATCGACAAATGTCATATTAAATTAAAACTATTTTTTTAACATATTTAACAAAATTTTTTCTAACTAATTTTGTAACATATTTAAGTCAAGTTACGTTTTTCTAAATGTTCACTATTAAAAACCAAACAACATTTCATTCCTAAATAATCAAACATCGGAAATCAATCACCGGTAATTTTTTTGGGTATTCATAGCACCGACCGTTGCTCTAGAAGAGATGCCCATCACCCTCTAGCGAGAGGAAAAAACCACTGAAGAACACTGATGATAATGACTACGACTTAGGTTGTACACCCTTGACATGTATTTTAAATTTTACTGTCTTTAAATTTAAATCATATTATTGTCATTTTTATGAATAAAGATATGAAGAAAAATTGGGTGCATTTTTTTATATCATTTTTTCGAAAACTTATCGATACATCTATGTGAACCGTACGAAACATACTCAGCACTAGTCACATTCGTTTGACAGCCGTCATTCTAATCAAGCTATATTGGATAGACTATAAGAGGTTTTAATAGTTTGCACCGACAAAAAGCAAAACTAGCAATAAACAATGAAATAATATTTCGATTCAATTAATATTCGCTGTCATCTTTCATTCAAAGTTTATTGCACATTCCGCTTCCAACAAGTTTGCTAATTTATTTATTTTGCTTCGTTCAATAAGAAAAGAATTTCCAAAGCAAATTACAGTGGAAAACATGAAATTGAAATAGAAAAGGCATGCACCAGACGATTGCCATAGTAATGGTGAAATGTATACTATTTATTTGCATTTTATATCTCGACCCAATAATGGCGATATCGCGTGATATAATTTGTACTTTCCGACGGTCCCATTTGGTGAACGAACTTATTTGATTTACCTTGCGTCGCAAGTTACGATAATTTTCTGGGTCTTAATACAGTGTGAGTCACGTTAAAGTGTAGGTACATATGAAAATAGATGAAACTAGACCTATTTTTATCGACAAAAAAGAGGTCAAAAAATTTTTGAGATTTTTTAAAAAATTTTTGTCGAATTTTTTTTCTTCCAATTACCTATTGTAAAGAAAACGTAATAACTTTTAAACTAAGCGGTATATCCTGATAAAATAAAAACGGTAATAATGCTAAATAACTAATGGACTAATTAAAAACTCTTGCCTTTTACCCAGGAAACATGCCTATTTGAACAAACTACAAAATTTGAACAACTTTAATGCTTAGCGCAATCAACAATTAAATTAAGAATGAAATAATTATGAATTCAATCGATGACCTCGAAAATAGAAAATAACAGATCTTTTTTAAATCGGCTTGTTTAGAAAGTTGCCTACGCTAGCTTATTTTCAAAATAACTATCAGGGGATGATTAGTGATCGATACTGATGCCAAAAATGCAACCAGTAAAATTTTTGTCTGTCTGTCTGTCTGTCCGTCTGTATGTTCCTTATAGAAACAAAAACTACTCGACGGATTTTAACGAAACTTGGTACAATTATTCTTCATACACCTGGGCAGGTTATAGTATACTTAGGAATTCCCACGGGAACAGGAATTAGCGGGAAAATCCTTTTGTATGAAAAATCTAAACCTCTTAAGTTAGACGCTTGTTGGCATGCAGGTACCTTAGTAAGCTTAAAGCTTAGTTACAACAGGATATTGCAAAATTCCCACGGGAACGGGAGTTAGCGGGAAAAAATGGGATCCACGCGTACGAAGTCGCGGGCGGCCGCTAGTTTCAAATAAAAAGCTTTCACCATTTATAAAATAGTTTCTTAGTAATTCATGACTAATTGTATTTAAAAATTGTTACAAACATTACACGCTCCATCAATATAATTCCGTTGTATCTGACATTCGGTCGAACTATTTCGAATTTCCAAGGCATACAATGTTTATTTGAGCACCGTTTAGCCTTTTGCACTAACCGAACACGTTTGTCTATTCAGATTAAAACGCTCGCCTATTATATTCATGCCAGCATTTTGCAAAAGTTTCCTGTTGGTTCCCGAGGTGTTCTTGGGGCTTCCTTTGAAATTCTACGCAGTGCACTACAAATAAAAATATGCGTTAGCAATTTATCTCAGTCGCAACAAAGAAACAGATTGAACATTTTAAAATAACATTTCCTCATAATTTGTAGCCACAACGGCTAACGAGTAAAGCTGTTGTATTGTTTCCGATTCAGGAAAAGTCTAAGCTGCTATAAGCTTTTATTCCTAATAAATTATGAACAGTAATTTACCTTCAATGCTAATAAAAGTCAATCATAATAAATATCGTGCATTCATTTACTAAGCGGCAGGAGCTTTTTATTTCATACCTTAATTTGTTCGTTAAATTAGGCTCTTTTTGGTCCTCTTATCTTTCTAATCAATATGTTCTCGTCCTTGCAGAAGTCCCAAACTTTCCGAAAGATCGTATGTACGAGTAATTCACGTGGGCGATGCCGCGGGCATGAAACATCTCTTACTAATATTACCAGTTTCACATTGAAAGGTGTTATATTCCCTGTAAACCTAAAGTGAATTCGGCTAAGCCTTTCTTCAGATGGTATTTCAAAAACTACAGATATAGAAGAACTAAAATTTTAAACATTTTTCATGGATGGAAACGAGTAAAACGGCGCAACCACAAAATCACAACAATAACAAAATCCTCTTGTGTCCAGCGCAGGTGGTAACAGCTATAAAAGCATTACTTGAAGCTCCTAGCAATCTGCTTCTAAAGAATATTTTAAAACTTCAACCTTCAAGTATGCTTACAACTAGAATATGAAATTGCATTTGTTTCTCTAAACTTCATTCCGTGAAATATGAGCAAAGCTTTGAATACAAATAAAATATGACGTACGATTTTAATTCGCCTAAGTACCTATAACTTTTATTAATATATTAAGATAGCAGTCTATTATAATAATAATTGTGTAGATAGATATAATTACTCAACCCGTTACCAATTCTTTTTTTTATTTATTACATACTTAGTTCCTAGATAAAAGACCACAGAGTAATTACGTATCCCTTATATTTCTATCATCAGACTAAAGATCAATATCTTAAGTAACGCCTCTACAACGCCTACGTTTTAATCTCAAAGTTCTTTCATTACCGTCTTTTAGCTCGTATAATCCTTACTCAGTATAAGTTACTCAATAATAACTAGACAAAAGATGAAGTATGTAGGTAATTTAAAAAAGTAAAAACAGTGCAAATATAATTTTAGAATTCACTTTAAAAAAAATGAACTAAGTATAACACTAATTGCTCTACAAATAAAACGCATTATACATAGGTAGGTACACACGTAAAACGTGGAAGCTGCTGTTAGCGCAAAAGGTTTAAAAGTGAAGCCAGTACGGTTTTATGAGTGAGATTGTATTTTTTGGGTAATCCGCATGTGTTCTCGGAATTTCGATTAATGGGCCGGCGGTTTTATCGTCAGAGCAGCTTTTAAGCCTACCATCGACTTTTAGTTGGCCGATAGTTGAGCCCGGTTTTAATTTGTATGAAGAATCAGCCGATATCAAATCGGTGTAATGTGCGCACTTTCATATGTCCATACTGATTAACAGCCCGACCCAACTATCGGCCAACTAAAAGTCGGTGATCTGCGCCTAGGCTAAACCTAAAACAAAATCAAATAAGTTCGCAAATTGTGTGTACTGAAAACTACTGCGCACAAGAGCACTATGTCAAGTTCAAGTTCATGCATAAGTAAACTTGATTTTAAAATTTCAAAGACAAAATAAAGCGTTCTCAAGTGCAGCACTTTATTCCTTTGAAGCCTCGCGTAAGGCACATCAAAGATGAACCTGACACTGACACAGTGCACTTGAACTTTGTGCGACAGGCTTTCAATATTCTGTTGCAGCGATATCACACGGCGTGTGTTGGTGTCGGTTCTTGTGTTTATTATTCAACGGAAGGACGTGACGATCGCTGCTTTACTTTGATATTGAATGTTGATAGAGCTAAAATGGAGTTTTGAATTCAGTTTGCTGATTTACGATGGATAAATGTTTTGCTCTTAGGATATTTAAAAGTAAATAACAAAGTTTTGAGATTATCCGAGAGATTATCAGAGATTGAAGATACTGGAAACATGAGCTTAAAGTTATAAAAAATCAAGAGGTCACCATAATACGAGGTTTTTTTAAATCATAACAGGTTTCACGAAACGGTGGCACTGTAATAAGGAGTTTGTCATTATAAATTACAGAATGTGTTGGGAAGTATACCTATGTACATATAGCAGGAATTAGACTTCTAGAGAAAAATACGAGGTGTGAATGCCACTTTACATAGTCTTAACAGTACAAAGGTCATGTTATAAAAGCTGAAATTAATATTGTTCGATTGTTTAAAAAGATGGTAATCTTTACATTGACTTTAGTTCCCTTTAAAAGCTTATGTCCATCTGAAATCACCGTTTAAATAGCGAATAATTTTTAAAATGTGCAATGGTTTTCTCGTAAATGAACAAACTTTTCATAATACGCTCTCTCTCTGTACAGCATTAGTACAGATTATGATTTTCATTTTCAGGTATAGTGCAGAATTGCCAAGTACTAATCTGAGTGGGCAGTGGCATCCTTTCCAGTTTATCGCCGTATCCGGCAGCGCCGAACTCCACGGAAATTACGGTTTCGTAGTGGGAGTTCCAATTAATGGTTGGATATGGCAAGTAAATAATAAAGTTATAATATTTTTCCAACTATCACACCAATTAGTCGTAAACTAAGCAGAGTATTATGACGATGATATTATAACAACTAAATACGTGTAAATAGAGACCGGTTGGTGTAATTGGTTTCCTGGAAAGAAGAGATAAATATCGAATTCGGAAAGTGATGGTATTCCATTGGGAGCTAGCTATGTTTACCTTTTATTTAGTTTTTTGCTAACTAAACTGGCCTTATTAACTGTAATTACGGATTTATCCAGTAGTACAAATAATCATATTAAAAGACAATGCCGGAAATTGGCGTCTTTTTTTTTTCGCGCGGCCATCGACTAAACCTTGTTTTTTGATTACAAAATAGTGTAATAAACCAAACTTACTATGACATGTATACCTCTAAACTCAGTCTGAACTGAGTTACGAGCATCAGAAGTTTGATGATTTTCATACTAGATTTGCTGTTTGCGCGCAAGTTTTGTAAGAAATTGCAAGAAAATAATGACATTGTATGTGTAAACAAACAATACCATCCATTAAAGGCTCCAGACATCAGTATGCAGCAGAATCAGCGCAATAAAAAAATAACGCAATATTTTGTTACAATTTCTTAGAAAACTTGCGCGCAAAAAGCAAATCTAGTATGAAAATCATTAAACTTCTAATGCTCGTAACTCAGTTCAGACTGAGTTTAGAGGTATACATGCCATAGTAAGTTTGGTTCATTACACTGTTTTGTAATCAAAAAACAAAGTTTGGTCGATGGCCGCGCGAAAAAAAAAAGACGCCACCTTCCTTTTTTTTTAATATATTATTTCTTAAGTACTATTGTATTCTTTTAAATTATTTACAATATATTTACACAGTTCTATGAATGATTTGATGGTGCTTTCCCTCTTTAACAGGTCCGATATTTCAAAAGGTTTTACTTTAAGGTACTGGCATATAGCCATATGTTGCACTCTTTGCCGGATAAAACGCGGACAGTCTTTGAGTAGATGGAGTATATCCTGGACAGCATTTGGATCGCAATTACACTTGTCGGTCTCAGCTATCTTGAACCGATGTAAGTATTGTCGGTGATAGCCGTGACCGGTAAGAATTTGTGTCAGGTGGAAGGAATATTCCACCTGAGCGAAAAGTTGGATAATGTTGTCCAGGTTTGGAAGCCAGTTCCGAGTAAGGGCACCCGTGCTAGCAGTAATATACCGATCATTATTGAGACGTTGGTTTATTTCTCGTATACCGCGCTTTACATGACTGATCGGAAATCTAGAAAAGTCGGGAGCACGCTGAGAAGACGCTGCACTTTTTGCGGCCTCATCTGCTGTTTCGTTGCCTTCCAGGCCGGCATGTGCCTTAACCCAGACGAACTCCACGCATCCTGGATGGAGACGTAAATGATTATGAGTCATTACTGCCAAGCTGTTGGTGGTGTGCATATTTGCTAACTCTTGAAGAGNTGTTTCAATATAGTAAAAAGTGAACATCTCCAAATCAATTAAATATATTATATAGGTATAGTAACGGGCACACCCGGTGCCCAACACCCAGCATTAGTTCATATTGCCTGAGCCAATGTTCCGTTAAACATAAGACATGAATATTCAATTCTTGGATAAATAACTCAATTTCCAAGTCTTTGCCGGAGAAGCCTTGTACATTCTGATGCACTAAATTAAAACCGTTAAATTTCTTTGTACTCGAATTTTGTATGCCAGAGTTATCCTCTATTCATAGCGACCTTTAAAATATTTGAAATGAATTCACCAACATTGATTTGCTATTATAATATTCGACCCTGGCATACATTTGCTTAGTGTTCTCGTGATGAAGCGAGGCCTATTTTAATTAACTTCATGCATAATAAAATCTGTTGACACTGAACTGAATTTATTGAAGAAGTTTTGAATTTAGAGTTTCTGTATTAGTTAAAATCTGAAGCCTTGTGAGATTCAATCTTATACTAAATTAGTATTGGTATAAGGCTACAGATTTTTTTTGTTCTATTTTGTTGGACGCGCTAATAACAGGAACTAACGGGGTTGAATTAAAAAAAAAAGCATACCAACCAAATGGAGAACTTCCTCCTTTTACTGAAGTCGGTTAAAACGGCTAATTTTAATTTAATGGACTATTAACATCACCTTACAACTAATAGGAGCATCAATGAAAAATGTTGCAGAAAAGGGAAAAATAATTTAAACAATTTATCTCGTAATGATAAATTAATGCAATCAGCAATACAATCCATTAAAGAAGCAAATTAATTTTATTAAAAAGAAAACAATGATGTTATTGAAATAATAATAAAGATGCAATTTAACTACACTCCATTAACGTTAATTACTTACTCGTAATACATTTTGTTATTCTTTAACAAAGTATGATCACAGAATATGAGTTACCTACATACAATGAATGTACATTTAAATCGGATTATTTCAATGCAGCATCATAAAAAACAAAAGTAAGTACCATTCAAGTAACATTTACGTAATAATTGTTACACCTATCACCTATTACGCAAAATTCGAGTTTAGGACATAGGTATTGTGATTTTACAGTTCATGAAAAGTAATCATTTTGAGGTCATCGTCATTCATTTCAGTCACAGGACGTCCACTGCTGAACATAGGCCTCCCCCAATTAGGGTTGCCAGGTCCAAAATCAAAAAGCCGGACTCTGTGCTTCATTTGGCCGGACATTTTACCCTAAAAGCCGGACATGACATCCCGGGGGGGGGGGGTGTAATTAGTGTCTTAGTTCACGAGTGAGTACTGTCATCGTATCATCGGTTGGCCAACTTAACATCCTGATGCGTTCGCTTCATATTATTCTGTGGCTCAACCTTCGCTTGGCGCAACAGGCCAAATAAAAAGCCTAACAAAAGCCGGACAGGCCGGACAAGACAATATTTGGCCGGACAAGACCGTAAAAAGCCAAACATGTCCGGCTAAAGCCGGACGCCTGGCAAGCCTACCCCCAATGCTTTCCATGTTGATCGATTGGTAGCGGCCTGTGTCCTGTAAACGTTTATGTGGTAAAAAAAATGTTATTAAGTAATCGTTGTTCTAAAGATATAGATGAATAGCTCGTCACAGGAAATATGAATTGCTGTAAGGGACAAATTGTCGAAATTGAGTTCCTCCCCAATGATTCCCAGATTGGCGGCTCGCCGCCTGCATCCAGCGCCTTCCCACAACCCTTATAAGGTCATCAGTGTACTTAGTATATAGTGCATATAGTTTGCATTTAAGTCGTCGATTGCGAGTGCGTCAAAAAATCTATGAAGATTTTAGTTCGTGAAAGTGTCCGCCAGAGACAATGTACAATCTGTCATACATTTCAGCGATGTCGCTAGCAACTGCGTAAAAAATTACATGATTTGATATGACCATATTTTCGTAGCAATCAATTTTTAATCAAAATATTGCTAGGCAATGACGTCACGTTTAACGAACTCGAGGCGATTGCTATTGAACGATCCGTGTTTGATAGGAGAGTTAACGCCCGCCGTATTTGCTTTCGCGTTGAAAGGTCGACAGTTCATGACACGATACCTAAAGGGATTCCATTTTGTTACGCAATTTGAAAATTGACATAACAAAAGTCATTGTTTTTTATGCAAATAGGCTTTTTATAAAGCGCTTCTACACGTCCCAGTATTGCTCTACCTGTGGGTCTAGACAAAGCTGCAAAGTGCAAATTATAATCGCAAACCAGTCGAAAAGTGGTCAAAAAGCCCGTTTTTTGTATGGAGTTTTGACGGATTCGATTTTCGATTCGATCAAAAAGTGCGTTTTGTCTAGGGGGGCTGCTTCGGGACAAGAAACACAGTCACCAAATTGTCATTGTCAGCCTCTTTTAATTTTAGAACCTAAGACCAAAGAAGAACGGTCATCTGTGACCCAGGCCCGACAGAAACGAGACATACCTCAGTTTTTTTGTCATGTCTTAATTAGTAAAATTATATATTTTTTATATTCGAAATCTATGTATAACACCAAATTATTACCCTTTGTTTTTGTTCAGGCGCCATACAAAAACTAATACAAAATGCCTATTTATCACCAAAATTGGTAAATGTATGTACCTGAATAGCTGCTATGGAATGTATCTAGGTGACCTGGAGATACAACCGGATTATACAGGGTGGAAACGAGAAGTTACAAAATCCAAAAATTAAATGTTACCAGCTTCCATATTCTGTAATCTATTATTGGCACCATTTGAAAGAGCTCGTGAAGCACTTTCAGAATCAGTAACTAGTTTTTCGATATCTTGTATAGTTTAGAAATAATCGAGTGAGATCACTTATCGTTCCATATGTATAACCACCCTGTATAATCCGNGCGGGCAGCGGCTCGGGCTCGCGCTCGGCCAGCCCCCAGCGCGCGCCGCGCAGCGCCACGACGGCGCGCACGCAGGGCAGCTGCGCGCGCCGCTTCAGCCGCTCGAAGGCCGCGTGCATGCCCGTCGGGCAGTCCGCGTCCAGCGCTATGCCGGACAGCTGACGGTCAAAAGTCATAAGTCGTTATTTGGCTAGTTTCTTAAAAAAATTTTTTTAATCCGTCAATTTTAATATAAAACAAACAAATAATTACAAAGTTATAGTGCGTTGAAGTTCCGCGCGACGTCACAAAGTGCTGCACTTTTACGCACTCACTGACGTCACAAAGTGCTGCACTTTTACGCACTCACTGACGTCACGGGCCTTTTCTTTAGAACTTTGGCACGCTTTATCTCTTTACATTTTCATTAGTTTTAAAAAGTGAAAAATACGTGTCGAGTAGTTTTTGATAAGCTAACTGACGGACTAATTAAAACTCTTGCTTTATTACCCAGGAAACATCCCTATTGTCTGCAAATAGGCTTTTAAAAAGCGCTTATTTTACACATCTCAGTCTAGATCGTTTCATCCACGAAGACGCGCCCCACCATTCTTCCGCTAATGTTTGAGTGTTATCGGTACACGCTAAATTTTTCATGAGTGCAAACGCACACTACAATAATGACGTTCGGATCAAACTCCCCGCACCCCGCGCTTCCCTTGACCAAAAATTGGTGAGGCGCGTCTTTGTGGATGAAACGATCCATATCACTGTAACCAGTCTTCGGGACAATCAAAGACGAGTATAAATTACTCTTTTTTTATCACATTGAAGTTGATGCCTTCTAAAAAAAGACGATTACAACTTTTACACTTACCCCTAAAAATGTACTAAATAAAACCTGTCTCTTAACATTAAAACAAGATCGGTTACGTGTCGATGCCCCCTAAACACCACATATCTGAACTAAACCTTTGTCAGGCAGGATTGATACTGGAAAACAGATGAAAAACAAAAAAATTCAGGGTGGAAACGATAAGTGATCTCACACGATTATTTCTAAACTATACAACTTATTTAAAACCTGAGGTGGAATTGTGTAAAGCAATCGTAATCATTTGACAGTTCATAACGTACGATTATTCTGTCAAACGCTTTGTATAACTGACTTTATCGTACGTTATGAACTGTCAAATGATTACGATTGCTTTACACAATTCCACCTCTGGTTACTAATCCTGAAAGTGCTTCACGAACTCTATCAAACGGTATCAATAAAAGGTTGCAGAATGAACTGGATCTATACGAAAATACCGACATTCAACATTTTGTATAGTTTATAAAAATCGAGTGAGATCACTTGTCGTTTCCACGCTGTATACCATCAGCAGTACAGCTCTTGTAAATCAAGCTATTTCTCCACATGTGTTTAACAGATGAATGAAAGCCAAAAGAATCACTAAATGCTTATGAATTTAGTACAATGTATGAATGAATATTATCTCGAATAAGAATGAGTGCTATTACTTACCCTTCTTTATTTTTAATTGACAGATTAATGTCTATAGTCTCTTTTGGAGTTAATTAATGCTTGAATTCTGACTTTAATGAGAAGACATTATTAATATAATCTAAAAATATTTATAGTACTATAACATAATTAAACGATAAGTTAAAAATCATCACTCTAATTTCATTTATTTACCATTCATTGATTCAAATCAAATCAAAATCAAAAAATTGTATTATTAATTTCATTCATTTTGAATCAACCTAAAAAATCATGGAAATTCCCAAAGAATGTTGAGCAGCTTAAGCAAAATATAATTTCTGTAAATAGTCAAACCTAACCCAACTTCCTGTTTGGCTATTAAATACAAATGTGATTAGCATTTTATGTTAAACAGTGAATATGTTGAGTTAATTTCAATCGGAACGACGTAATATTATTCGAAGAATTCTTTATAGTTAGACTGAATCTTATGTCGAATATAACATACATTTTATTAATCTAGATAAGTATTTTTTGATGACACAAATATTTCATCAAGACAGTTGTGTGAATTAACGAAAAAAATAAAAAAACCTCAATTTAAATTACCTATTCTAATAGAAACTGAAGTTAAAAAATACTGAGATTTTTAAGTCAAACTTACCTTGAGAAGTTGACATACAGATTTGATGTTGGTATCTTTGTCAGTATCCAAAAGGTGGAGCAAGACCTTACAGAGGCTCTCTCCCAAAGTCTTGATTCTTCCACCCTGAAACAAACATTTATATAAACCTGTGAATTACATTATGATTGTATAAGAGCCTACAACTTGGAAGTTACATTTCTTGTTCAAATTACATAATACTTGTTTTGGATTGGGTATGATAATAATTAAGGTCTTTGCACTCATTTATTGTCAATCAAAGTGATAATCGTAACATGTGGGATTGATGTGCTGCTTATCAGTAAAATATAGTAAATTATTCTATAGAGAGGTATATTTAGAGCGTCTCTCAAACTTATCTCGTGGAACCCCACGCGGTCGTATGAGATCGCGGCACAATTTATTTTTATTGTGGCTCGATGGGTATTGAAGGGCTACGATTCTATCATAATAATCTTTGTGCCTCTCTCATAATATTTTGTTTTTCCTTTTCTATTCTATTCTGCTACTTGGCAATCTGTTTCCGTGAAACAATAATCCAATCATCTGTCTGATTCTAATCCGGTTCTTGAGGCGTTCAGTAAGAGACTAGTCCAGTGAGTCATGTCTTATTCTTTCACTGCGTATCTTTTCGCTAGGTTTTGAATGCTATGTCTCTTCAGTCTAGAAAAGTGGAGAATGCCAGTTCCTTGCAGTTGAGAGGCGAGTTCGTTTCTGTGACTATCCCAGCGGTTCCCGAATGGTGGTCCGCGGAACCCTGGGGTTCCGTAGAAAGGCCGCAAGGGTTCCGTAAAAAATATTATCCCACGTTTCGTGACCGACGTTGTTCGCTCGCACCGACTTGTTTACGCACAAGGGAGGGGCGGGGCGTGCGGGCGGAGTAGTACGGGGGTTCCGCTAGGAAAAGTATAATAAATTAGGGTTCCTTGGCAAAAAAAAAAATTGGGAAACCCTGGACTATCCAGTCTCAGTTGGTAACTTTTACTGTACTTTTCAATTTGCTGTTTCACTGTATCCAGCTTGATATCCATGTACATAATCTTGTTACTGACATAGGGAGGTATCTTAATGTTATAATTCTCTCATAATAATCATTTAGTTTGCATCCAGGCGACCTTCACCAGATCGTCGGCCCACCTAGTGGCAGTGGCGGCGTATAGGTTGGCATCCGGGGCGGCACCCCCCCNATAGCCTAAGGCACCCCAGAATGGCACCCCCCCTGTCATGACATCACGACCGTCCTTGCCATGCAGATGCGTCAGTGAGTACTAATCTGCGCGACTTTGTCACCCTCTGATGCTTGGCACCCGGGGCGGACCGCCCCCACCGCCCCCCCCTTACGCCGCTACTGCCTAGTGGGAAGTACCTGGATGCAAGCGGCGCAGGACCGGTCTTTGTGGAAATCCTTGGGGGAGGCCTTTGTCCAGCAGTGGACGTCTTTCGGCTGAAACGAACGAACGAACGAACCAATCATTTAGTTACTATGTAAAGTGCCCCATAAGGGCTACCTTTTTCTTTTTTTATTATTTTCTACTAGCTTTCCGCCCGCGGCTTCGCCCGCGTGGAATTTTGTCTGTCACAGAAAAACTTTATCGCGCGCGTCCCTGTTTCAAAAACCGGGATAAAAACTATCCTATGTTCTTTCCCGGGACTCAAACCAAACTATGCCAAATTTCATCAAAATCGGTTGCGAGGTTTAAGCGGGAAAGCGTAACAGACAGACAGACAGACAGACAGAGTTACTTTCGCATTTATAATATTAGTTGGGATTGACGTTCATAAGTGCCACTTGTGGTCTAAACTGAATAAATATTTTTGATTTTGATTTTACCTGGCTATCTTCAAGTTGCGTGTAGATCTCCGCCAGGAACATAGCGAACCCGCGCATGTTCTCCTCCGAGGTCTCCACGCCGCTGATGATCTTGTTCTCCTCCGTGGAGCACCTCTCCAGCAGGCACACGCGGAACGTGGACTCCTCGGGCGCCGCCACCGAGTCGTACATCGAGCAGAGGCGCGCGCCGTTGTAACGGAAGTTCGACTCGCCGATCGACTGAATACAAAACGTTTACACTCATCAATATGAATTAGGTAACGCGATTTTTAAAAGCGTTAAATACGGTTGTAACTGCAAGCATTAATCAAATAATAAAAATCTGAAGTAAATCGAAACATTTAACGAAGTTTTTTTTGCATTTAACTGGGTCAAGACAATTAGTTTAGTGCGCAAGTATAGTGTTACAGACAATAAGCTAATTAATGGAAAAACTTCATTGAGTCAAGTTAATTATTTAGAAACTTATGTGTCACTTATTCAATCATATACTTCTGTGCCATTATGCTTTTACCCCAAATAATAATACAATATGGATACTAAAGAAGGCTATGTAAAGTAGGATTGTGGTACATGAAATTTTTTGAACACAGTATGCTACACTTTCCCATAAATCTATAATTTAACCTGAACTGTGAAGTATTAAAATGTAATTGACTAGAGGATATTGATAGTAAAGAGTAACCTAATAAGATCTCATAAAAAACACTATCTTATAATAATCCAATTAAGATCTAATTTACTAACTTTTGTTTGTTCATGTTATAAGAATGAATAAGATTATAATTGGATTATAATTAGATTAGATTACTATGCTGTTTTTGTTTTGTTCAAGTGAAAATTTATGTAATGAAACATCTTGTATTCTTGTTCTACTTCAGAATGGTACTCTTTGGAACCGTTCCAAAAAATATAGGTATAAACATAATATGCTTAACTTGCATAGTGGTCATAGAATGTTATTTTACTCCATATTTTGTTGCTGATCAAGAAAGAAAATAAAACTTATTAGATTTGCACATTTTCTGGGCATCATTTATGAATTTTTTTACATTCATCAGCATTGTTAATAATCTATATTTAGTGAATATCCTTGATTCTGCAATTACTTAAGCTCTTAAATATGCAAAATACTTATCTGATGTTTTTATTTTAACTTTTCATGAATATTTTCATTGCATTTGAAAATGGTTACTTGATATCAACTCAGTTGACCAAATTAATACATCAATAACTACATTCAATAACTTACCTGATTAACAATAGCTTCAACCAAGGCCCTGGTGTAGTTGGCATCATGAAGCATATGAGCAAAGGAGTCCACCAAAGGACCACACAGGGTGTCGAACTTGCCGGGGTCAAATGTTATCTCACACATAACAGTAATCAGGTTGGCAATGTTCTCCTGCAGTACATTTAATGAAAACCAATAAATTTAATCTAATAAAACATCTACACATGCACAATAATTACATGAGTAACTGAAACAGAAACGCTGAGAATAAAATGTAATTAGTAAAAATATACCAACCCGCAAATCCATGTTCTCTTGTTCTTCAAGGGAATATGACATATCATCAAAGTTGTACAGGTTCTGATCTTGTGCTTGCCGCAAACGGTCTTGTACAGAGAAGCGGTGTGGCCGGTAGGGGGCCGGATCTGGTGCATAGGCTGGCACCGATTGAGGGTTGTAATTGGGTGGGTACCATTCCTTAGCCTCCGCCGACAAATTGGATTCGATTTTAGGAGGTTCAGCTGGCAACAAAAATAACATTTCGCAACAAGTCTTTACTCAAATGTGTGTCAAAATCTGCAGAGGTTATAGTACCACTCATCACTTCAAATAATGACACAGTAACCCACAAAAAATATGCATCACAACCAATTTACGGTACAATCGACTGCTTCTGTCAAACGAAGCAACGTCATTAGAAATGAAAATCCTTACTTTCACCTAAAGTATTATAATTATGCAGATTGCAGAACGCGTTAACTGACCGACTATGACGACGTTGAATCGCACAGGATTTAATTCGTGAAAGTGCACAATACATATCAATGAACTATTAGCTACCTTTCGCATCCTCGGTAACGATCCTAGGCCGGCGAAGCTCCCGTGGCTGATTTTCAGGCTGCTGCCAACCGCGGCCTCTGCCTCTAGGCCCTCCAACTTCTCCGTTATTCATTTCATACAGTTCAATACAATCGAATGTGAGGATCACTTTGAATAAATTCCATAAACCGTACAATATTTTCCTATATTTCTGATCGTTAAACGAATTCGACACGTAAACAAAGAAAAATTGAACTGCGCTCAAACCACTACCTCCATGTTATTTGTAAGAGTGAGACAAAAAATGAACCGACAGTAGGAAGGACGTATTTGGCTGGAACATGGAACACGTATTATTTTTTAAATACTAGTCTGTCACAGTTGCATAGTAATAGCATGATTTATTAGCGGCCCGAGATATATCAAAACTATTGTGCGTGCACTCAAGAGTCATCCATCATAAAATATTGATATTTATTTTTGTAAGTTTTATATTAGAACTGTGATAAGCTTTTAAAGCCGGGTGGGTCCAGACGGGTGTGATGTGTAATGAAAGATTACGTGTATAGTTCCAAAATACTGGACTGTCCTGTCGATGACATTGACAGTGGGGCGCCACCGTCAATACCGAATCGCTGGTTCAGATTTTTGCCATGTTGCAAACCATATAGTTGAACGATAGTAGCGCCCCCCTGTCATTGAGTTTGGTGGGACAGTTCAGCGTGGGTCATCTATAACACGATTTGTACGTACGTCAGGACCATAAAGTTAATATTCCTTCCGAAGGAATATTAACTTTATGGTCAGTGGGTCTAGACAAAGTGCACTTTTTGATCGAATCGAAAATAGAATCCGTCAAAACTCCATACAAAAAAAAGGCTTTTCGACCACTTTTCGACTGGTTTGCGATTAAAATGTGCACTTTGTCTAGACCCACAGGACGGAACTACGAGCATAGAGAAAGAAATACATGCTGCCCATCTTATAGATGACCCACGCTGAACTGTCCCGCCAAACTCAATGACAGGGGGGCGCTACCATCGTTCAACTATATGGTTTCCAACATGGCAAAAATCTGAACCAGCGATCCGGTATTGACGGTGGCGCCCCACTGTCAATGTCATCGACAGGACAGTCCAGTATTTTGGAACTATACCGTAATCGGGGCTCAGAATGAAGAATGTTCACTAATTTTGTTTTTTAGCTTTCTGTATTCTCTGTTAAAAATAAAAAATACACGTGAAAGAATTATTTCGATACGTTAATTAGTTTCCAAGATATTTAATTTTAAAAGTGCGGGCGGCGGCCGGCCCGCCATTTTATGCGCGTGACGTCATATTACAACGACTGGCTCATATTTGTATGGGTGGAATCTTGCAAACTGAATTAAGACCCACTTCCAGGCAACCGATTAAGCTGAAATTTCGCAAACACATGTGATTTGGATGACCATGCAATATTATGATGACATGGAGCTGATCTGATGATGGAGCTGGAAGGTGGCCATAGGAACTCTATAATAAAACGACTTAAATGCATCGAGTTTGGGCTCGTTCGTTTTGTATTGATGAGTATTTTAATTCTATATAGTAATCGGGGTCTAATGATGGAGCTGGAAGGTAATTGGCAATAAAACGACACAATCGCATCAAGTTTGGGTTTGGTTCAATTTTAATTTCCGTGATGGGTCTGGGTGTTAATATGTATAATAAGTTTGTATTTACAAAAAAAAAATATTTAAGTATGTTTATATCCGTTTTCTAGTGAGCGAACGCTGTGAATGTACGTCACACGGGGTCACGTGACCGTCGGCGGGACTCAATATTTAAGCGAACTTTGAATGCCTATAAAATCATAACTACTGGGTATTTTTGAATGAAATAAAAACTAATGTATTTGTAAATGTAAAAGCTTAACTGTAACATAGGTTTCAAGTGATTTTGCATACCTAGTAACATTCTCAATTGGCTTACAAATTAAACCCACAAAGAAAATTAGCCGTCGTACATAACTGGGTAGATAAAAAGCCAAAAAAAATTAAATAAAATGATAATTTCATATTATTTTAAAGTACATTTTTGCACCCTATTTCCAGTAAAATATATTTTTGAATAAGTAAGTACAACATGAGATCAAAGAATAAGATTTATTTATTTTCACTCTTGTGTATCATAACTATATTAATTGTACATACCTACATACTTTAAATTTAACATTTCTACATGAAACATGATTTTATGTATTTGCAAACTTTGTTTTTATCTACAAAAAATAATTATATTATTTATTATACATATTTCAAAACATACCTACAATATTTTTATATACAACGTAGGTACATGTTTTTTTTTACTTTAGAACTTGAGGCAAATGGTGATTATTATGATACCTATATGTATAACAATAAAACATAACAAAACAGAGAATCAATTCCCAGTATTAACGAATTTTTAGCTACCTAAATCTAAGATATGCCTATAAAAGAAAATTAAAGAAGCAAAACAATATAAAATCATCTAGGTATTTGCAATGCAACACTTGAACACTCTCGAAAGTCATTTATTATATACCTATTAAGATTTTGTTCCAATACTGATGAAAAAAAAATATGGATGTGTTTATCTTCTACTCAAGAATTAATTCATTATAAAAAACTCTAACTTGATAATAAGATGCGATGCACACAAGCCAAAAATTTATAATTGGAAACCAGGCCTTAGGTTTTAAGTTTTAGGTTTGTAAAATGACATTTCAGCTATCTGGATAGTGGCAATTTGCTGAATAAAATTTAAATTATTTAAGCCAAAGCTGAATCATCAAGTTATTCTGATTTAAAAGATTTTCATAAGATTTCCAGATCTAATTATGTACTACTACTGAATATAATATCACAAAAATTACATACATACTATGATAATCTGTCACATTTGTCGGTCATCCTGTTAAATTAGCAGTGTACTGTAGTGTACTGTTATGATGGATTTTTTATAATTTTCGTTAAGTGCTCTAATTCAAAGCAGGATACTATTTCCTATTTTTTTGTAATTGAAAATGTGTAAGCACCTACACAATATGCTAATTTTTTTGTTGCTTCTTGACTAACTGTATTTGTAATTTGAAAAGTTACAGCGCAAACAGTCATATTTATATACTAAATGACTCTCCACACCCACATGTGCCTTTAATATTTGGGTTGTTGAACACAAATTCAGCTGATAGTTTGTCTTCCACAAAGTCCATTTCAGTTCCTGAAAAAGCATAAATAATATTATTTTAAGTTGGTTTTGTAGTATTCTGCTTCTTATCAGCAGTAGGCTAAGATAAAACTTAAGTTATTTGTTTTTAATTAATACCCAAACAAAAATGTGGATCTAAAATAACAAAAAAAGTACACTAATGTAACAGGCTAAGTTGTATACCTAATTAGGCCTAGACATCAAACTACTCTCTTGATAATTTTGATGAAGACAATATTAACATAATAAAAACAGGTAGGTACCTACCTATTACACAAATAAAGTTAACTTACCTAATAGTGTTAACTGAGCTTTTTTATCAATGATGATAGTGACACCGTCTTGTTTGACTTCTTCATCTAATTTCTCTTTATTTTTAGCATAATCCAGAGTGTAAGACAATCCATTACAACCCCGCTGTCTTACCCCAACTTTTAGTCCAATGAAACCTTTGGCTTCTTCTTTAGCCATTATTTCTTTAACTTTGCTCACAGCAGAAGGTGTAAGAACTAATGCCGCCCTTGACGGTAGCACTCGCTTTTTCACTGCTCTAACCGTTGCACTTGCTATCGATTTAGTCGCCATCTGAAAATAACAAATTATCTTTGTGAATAATTTTCAGGCTAATTTACTAAAGTGTAGTTAGTTAGAGACATTTAAAATACCAGGAGTAACTCGAAAACTGCGAGTAATATCAATTAAAAGCTAGCAATAGCTAGCTACTCTGTCAAAAACTTAACTGCGTATCTCTTGTTTTGAAAATTAACTACGTAATCGGAAATATTGACTATACTAGACTACGAAAACATACCTTAGAAAAACGTAATGTTTATAGTTATTTATGAATCTTTTAGATGAATTCAATTATTTATTTCATAACACATGAACAAGTTTTGCTGTGGTAAATTGACAAATTAAAATTGACTGCCGTCAATGTCAAAATCATATGTGTGCAACAGATAAAAAAAAGTTTTTTTTCGTATAAAATCACTGTGAAATCACGGATAATTAATAGTGACCAGTGAAATGTTAAAATGAATTTGTCTCAAAAAGCCAAAGATAATGTAAAAGCAATTATTCGTACTATTAATAGGAGTAATGAGGAAATAAACCTGTGATGAGGAATGGAGAATTTTACAGATATTTTTATAACACTATTCCTCTCCTATTTGCTGAAAATGGATATAAATCGTGATAAATCAATTACGATCTCGAGAATTTCCAAAAAATAATCAGCAAAAAACCGAATTTTTTAATCTGTTCTGCTGTCTGTCTATGTGACACGAATGAATGACATTATGACACGTCTCCCATCGCACTCGTGTATCTGTGCGTGTCGTGATTCTAATGATTTTCTTTTTTGTATTGAAAATTAATAATGGGTGGCCAAAAATTTGAATATGATGAAAGTGGATCTACATTCTTTTACTTCGTTCTCTCTTTCCTAGCCCTAATACTGGTACCGGCGACGATTTATTATTGGCCTAGGAAGAGGAAAGAAGGTGAGTTTACAAATACGATTTACAGTTAAATTATTGAAAATTACTTAATAATCCAATGAATTATTATTTGTTTTAACAAAACTCAGAAATATAGCATAGGTATCTTATGAAAACAATATTTACTGTAACTCAAACGGTATACGTGAACGTGAAGGCTAGTTATTAGGCTTCTTCTACACCACTTTGATGTCTAAATGTCGGCAATTATTTTTATGTATAAAATGCTTTCTTCTTTCCAGATCCTGCCAAACGTGCAGAATTATGTCAATGTCCAAACTGTATAAAGAAACAAATAATCATAGAACAATCACAACCCTACAAAGGGGTTAAAAATTTCTTTATAAAACTAGCAATTATATCAGGATGGGTTTTGCTTGGCTTTTTGGCGTATAAAGTTTCACAATTTGATTATGAGATGTCCAATTTTGATCCCTATGAGATACTGGGCCTGCCACCTGGTGCTACTCAAGCCGAGATAAAAAAATCGTATCGCAAACAATCTCTAATTCTTCATCCAGATAAAGAAACTGGTGATGAAAAAGCCTTTATGAAGCTTACCAAGGCATACCAGGTATGTAGTTTGGTCCAAGTATGTTTCTGTGAACTTATGAAAAATAGAAAAGTTGAGAAAAAATAATAACTGTTTCAATGAAAAAGATCATCTTATTATTATAAGATGATCTTTTTCTTCATCTTATAAGATGATCTTTTTCATTGAAACAGTTATTATTTTTCTTCATCTTATAAGATGATCTTTTTCATTGAAACAGTTATTATTTTTTCTCAACTTTTCTATTTTTCATAAGTTAATTATGAAGGAACAGTACTTAAATATTTAAGTGGACTTTTTTAATACATTTTATCATTGTTACTAGGCTCTTACTGATGATGAGGCTCGAAGAAACTGGGAGAAATATGGAAACCCTGATGGGCCTGGTGCCATGAGCTTTGGTATTGCTCTACCAAGCTGGATTGTTGAGAAAGAGAACAGTGTGTGGGTTCTTGGGTTATATGCATTAGTTTTTATGGTTGCCCTTCCAACTGCGGTGAGTTAATATCATAATAATTTTTGCATTTCATTCCATCAAAGCTAGGTATATTACTGAATTTACTGATAGTTTCTTACTGTTAAACTGTTCATTTTTTCAAAATAATTGTTTTCTTTCAGGTTGGTATGTGGTGGTATAGGTCAATTAGATTCTCAGGAGAGCAAGTTTTATTAGATACTACACAAATGTATTTCTATTTTTGCCATAAAACACCGTCAATGCCTTTGAAGCGAGCTCTTATGATTCTGGCTGCGTCTTGTGAGTTTGATAGAAGACATAACTCTGAAGTTATTGAGAGAATTACTGATAATGAGGAAGTTCCAATGGTATGTAATTTTAGGTGGTACTTAATTAAATTATATCATATTGTATTATTGTTTTGTACACAGTATTGTTGAATACCAGATGCCTATGCTAGTTTCTTCCTAAATATCAAGGACCAAGAGACACTTTACTAAGCTACAAAACTAAGTAAAAATATGCTAGAGGTCTAAATATTCTTAAAAAGATTTACATAAATAACTAAATAAAAAACAATAAAAAGTCTCAAGACATAATTTGCACAATAAATAAACGTTGAAATATTTTAGCTGCTTCGTGAGCTGCCAAACTTAGGTGAGAAGAACAAAGAGCAGCCGCTGTGTCGTCCGTACAGTATTAAAGCGCGGGCGTTGCTGCACGCGCACCTCTCTCGCATGAAGCTGCCTCCCGACACGCTGGAGTGCGACCGCCGGTACATAGTGGCGCGCTGCCCCGACCTCATTGTGGAGATGGTCAACTGCGTCAACCAGCTGATCGCCCTCGCGTATGCTAGGAGAAGTGAGTATACGATTCATGTGGCTGTAGGTTTATAGAGACAGTTCGATAGATGCGTTGCTGCACTGCCTTCCGAGACGCTGGAGTGCGACCGCCGGTACATAGTGGCGCGCTGCCCAGATCCTCATTGTGGAGATGGTCAACTGCGTCAACCAGCTGATCGCCCTCGCTTATGCTAGGAGAAGTGGGTATATTATTTATGTGACTGTGGGTTACGATGTTACGATTTTGATACTTTCAATATTATTCCGACCGTTGATTAATCATGAGTCGGTTCCTATTTTTACAATGAAAAAAAAAATGAAGCTCAGTTAGACTGATGGTTCAATGTGACTTGTGAAGCATAGATTTTTTTCGCACAATCTGTCTACCTTGCCCATGCCTACATTGCCCTGACTACACTGAGAGCATTATTATTAATTAATCAGTGACTTACAGACATGTCGCTCGCAATCGCTGCGCGATCCGCCGTGACGTGCTCCCCCTGTGCGTAATTGCACTCTTCTGCATCCTGGACGCACAAATCAAAAATATCTTAGTTCTGTTTTGAAATCTTTCTCCTTTTTCAAAGATTTGCAAACTAAATTGTAAAACCCAGGGCATCTATTATCTCGTGAAACCCCAAGTGGTCTCATCAGACCGCGTAACAATTGATTTGTATCGTTTCTCGATTTGCTGATACAGTCAGCACCAAATGGTTTGTGACACCCAAAGTGGCCAAAAAGTTCGCAACACGTCTTTGATGCAATTGGAAATTGGAATAAGGTAATGTTGTCAACTTTTTGGCCGCTTTGATTGTCACGAACTTTTTGACGCTAACTGTACTTGAAAGATTATTAAACAGATAATCTTTTGTCCTAGTACCTCGTTTACCAACAATCGAAACCATCGAGAACTGCATGAAGCTCTCCCCAATGATCGTCCAAGCACTGTGGGAGTACAAATCGCCTTTACTGCAACTACCGTACATCACCGAGGACCACCTGAAGTACTTCACGAATCGGAAGAAGCACATCAAATCGCTGCTGCAGCTAGCTCAGTTGCCAGGCGAAGAAAGGAGACAAGTTCTGCGGTTCCTCAACGATAAGCAATATGAAGACCTGATGAAAGCGCTGGGAAATATGCCTTATATTCATTTCCAAATTAACACAGAAGGTATGTTATTGAAAATAATATCTTGTACTTACTATATGCGTGTACTAACATTCCTATGAATAACGGAACTGTGACGTGTGTCGTGAGTTCGTGACACTAATTTGATGTGGCAGTGTAGAATACTAATTGAAAAGGAAAAGCCAATGAGTGTGTACAATAAACTACACAGGTAATTGGTAAAGCCAGTTAAAAATTAATTATGAGGTAATTAGCTTCAATTTTAAGGATATTTGTTTTCATTTCAGTAATTGATGACGAGAACTCTACTGTGGTAACGGCCGGCGCTATAGTGACCGTCACCGTCTTTTTGAGACGAACCAATATGAGGGAACTGTTTGGCGACACCACGATCAAGGAAAAGGAAACTATCAAGTAAGACTGTTTATGATCATATCACAGGTTCATACTTTTGTTTGAATTATGCGTTTGTTGAGTTAAGAGATATTTTATAAATCGCGCTTACCCTTTGTTTAAGTTTGACTTACTTTGACTTATGGTCCTATGTCCCCTAGATGGGCCAGAGGGCGTCCAAATTGTGTGTGTGTGTGTGTCCAAAAGTTTGGAAGTGTAATATTTTTCCTTTTTTTTATTTTGAAACCTTATTTCCAAAGGGAAGACGAGGAGGGCGCCGGCGACAACGCCGAAAAGGAAAAAGGCGAGAACGACAAGAATGATAAAAATGACAAAAACGATAAGAAGGAGACATACAAGAGGCCAGTATGGATGAAGCAGCAGACAAAGAAACACCCCCAGTCGAAGAAAGCTAAGAAGCCGGCCGCTAACAAACAGCAGCCGGCCAAGCCCAGCCAGACCGCCACGCCGCCCCCGCCCAGCGACGCCAAGAAAACTAAGGAGGGGAAGGAACAGAAAGATCCGAATCAACCAAAGAAAAAAGACGACGATGGTAAGCAATCAATATTTTTAGTAACACAGTAATGTTAAAAATTATAATTCCAAGGCCAAACACAGTCCTCTTAAAACAAGTTAATTTTAGACCTAAAATCCCAATCATATGAGTGACTAGCATCCGCCCGCGACTTCGTACGCGTGGATCCGTTTTTTGTTTTTGTTTCGCTTTTATAGATAACTAGCTGACCCGGCGAACTTTGTTCCGCCTTAATGGCAATAAATAAGCAGACTTTTTTTTAATTTCGAACGGGATGAAAAGTATCCTATGTCCTTCTCCTGGCTCTAAACTACCTCCCTGACAATTTTCAGCTAAATCAGTTCAGCCGTTCTTGAGTTATAAGATAAGTGGAGTAACTAACACGACTTTCTTTTATATAATAGATATAGATTGATATTGTATTGTGCTCATGATATCCATAGCCTATTTAAATATTTTTATATTTTAAAACGACACCACAATCGAAGTTTGTAGTATTTTCAATACGATTCGCTCGAAAAAACAAATCAATAAAAGAGAACACGAGATTTATGTGCTTGTATCACGAAATTATATCTTATCGGCATGTTTTTGATATAAATACATATTTCTAATTAGAAAACTTCTTTTGACATTAATATTTACGATTATCACATCACACTAGACGTGATAAAGTATATAATTTAATTACGGTCCAATTGAAGATAATATTATAACCATCATGATTTAGCGTTGTGTTATTGAGTTGATTTACGACTTGGCTATAAAGGTATTATCTTATTTAAATCGAGGTAACCAACAAAAATACAAATTGTACGCGTTAATATTGTGGGCAGTATTAACATGGACTCAGGGTCCATACAGGGTTTAAAAGAATGCTACAAATGACTAACTGTACCTGGAATAAGTTGCCCACACTGGCCCATTTGTTGTCACGAAGTAGTGGTAGGGTAGGAGGGTTAAAGTAATACTGGTACTTGTAAAAACTTTTTATAAGCCCATTTGCAAAATAAGGTCAACCGAGGCAAGTGTAACACATTTTGATATCATGCTCAGTTAACATCCACACATTTTTATTGTATTGTGGTAAAACTTCAAAAGGTTTATGTCACTAAGCAAATTTAGCCCTATAGCGCCGTAATATGTGAAAAAATGTAATAAAATTACTCAAGTTATGAAATTGTCACACTTCCCACATAACCGGGGTAAGTGTAACACTTGCAATTTTATTTTACTATAACTTTATTATCTATGGTTTAAACAAACATAGTTTTTAAGGGTACTTAGCAATCAACAATCACATTGTGCCTCGTGCTGTTTACATTCGACTGGTGTTTTAAAATGGTGGATGTCCGTAAAATAGTAGAAACTGCGTACCGCGTTGTAAAACAGCACGGCAGCGTAGACGTGCTGCTAACGTTGATCAATATATGGCGCTTTAACGAAAAGCTTGTATTGTTTTCAATATTTGTAACTGTCGTAATAACCCCACTGTCACACTTGCCTCGGTTGACTTTAATTGAATTTGTATTTGAATTTCTTTCCAGCCGAAGAGTCGGACTTGGGCAGCTCGGACGAGTCCGGGACGCACAGCTCGGGGTCGGAAGACGAGTCACGCGACAAGTCGTCGGCCGCGGAGGAAGACGACGACGACCAGTGGGACAAGTTCCAGAAGCGGCTGCAGAAGCGCGAGCGCTTGGAAGGACGCTCCAAGAGCTCGCACCCTGTTCACTGCCCCTATTATCCTCAGGTAAAGTCAAAGTCAAAGTCAACATTTCTTTATTTGTTTAGACTAATAAATAGTTCTTACAAATCGTCATATGCTCTTAAGGAGCCTCTACATGTCTCATAATCTTTTTACCCTACCAGCGCTTCGAGACCAACATTTGGCAAGTGCTGAGAAGAAGCGCCGCAACAAACTAGTAGGGGGATACTTGGGGGAGGCCTTTGTCCAGCAGGACGTCCTTTGGCTGAAATGAACGAACAAACGAAACTACTAGATCTATTATTTAGGAATGATCTCCAGAATGGGCAGGGCACCTAGTACGCAGAACTGACAGCCGATGGGGTGGCAAGGTTCTGGAGTGCAGGCCACGTACTGAAAAGCGTAGCGTATCACGTCCACCCACAAGGTGGACCGACGACTTCATAAAGGTAGCAAGAAGGCGCTGGATGCAGGCCGCGCTACCAACCGGTCATTATGGAAATCATTGGACCATCAGTGGACATCCTATGGCTGAAATGATGATGATGATGATGGTCTCCAGAAATTCAACATAATCATAGGCTTGTGATAGGCGAAAAGTGACTAGATTTTTTTTTCTCTCCATTTTATATCTGCAATCGACTTTGGTCATAATCAGATGTTTTGTCTTGCTTTTTTGTGTTCTTAAGGAGGGGTATTTCAGTAAATTCTCTCCCTCGGTCTTCACTCATTCACGTAGCAATCCAGTCCAGCCTTCTAATATTCAGTCCAAGCCACTAGCATCTTTAGTGAAGTGACTAGATTGTAAATAATTGTTATTTAAGAACTTTAATGTAAAGTGTTATTGTGTTACTCTATTGTTCAAGTGAGCGCAATGTAAGTACCTTTTGTAAACAAGCTAGCTTATTAACATTGCATCTTTCTGATTTCGTCAGGAGAAACAAGAGTACTGGTGGTGCTACATCTGCGACCGCAAGTCGCACACGCTGCTGGCGGCGCCGGCGCACGTGACGGCGCTGGTGGACACGCACGAGCTGCAGCTGCGCTTCACGGCGCCGCGCTGGCCCGGCGTCTACACGCTCGCCTGCTGCCTGCGCTCCGGTGAGTGCTGCACTACACAGCTGTCCAACAAGAGTACTGGTGGTGCTACATCTGCGACCGCAAGTCGCACACGCTGCTGGCGGCGCCGGCGCACGTGACGGCGCTGGTGGACACGCACGAGCTGCAGCTGCGCTTCACGGCGCCGCGCTGGCCCGGCGTCTACACGCTCGCCTGCTGCCTGCGCTCCGGTGAGTGCTGCACTACACAGCTGTCCAACAAGAGTACTGGTGGTGCTACATCTGCGACCGCAAGTCGCACACGCTGCTGGCGGCGCCGGCGCACGTGACGGCGCTGGTGGACACGCACGAGCTGCAGCTGCGCTTCACGGCGCCGCGCTGGCCCGGCGTCTACACGCTCGCCTGCTGCCTGCGCTCCGGTGAGTGCTGCACTACACAGCTGTCCAACAAGAGTACTGGTGGTGCTACATCTGCGACCGCAAGTCGCACACGCTGCTGGCGGCGCCGGCGCACGTGACGGCGCTGGTGGACACGCACGAGCTGCAGCTGCGCTTCACGGCGCCGCGCTGGCCCGGCGTCTACACGCTCGCCTGCTGCCTGCGCTCCGGTGAGTGCTGCACTACACAGCTGTCCAACAAGAGTACTGGTGGTGCTACATCTGCGACCGCAAGTCGCACACGCTGCTGGCGGCGCCGGCGCACGTGACGGCGCTGGTGGACACGCACGAGCTGCAGCTGCGCTTCACGGCGCCGCGCTGGCCCGGCGTCTACACGCTCGCCTGCTGCCTGCGCTCCGGTAAACTGTTATGCTTGTTCTAAATCAAGGATGCACAAACTGACTGGGATTAGAGGCCACTCCGGCAGATTACGAGCTAAAAGCGGACCGCAGAAAATAAACAACTGAATTTCAGGTTGTTATTTTCGCTATTTTTATTAGGTCGCTGGCAGGCCGCACTGTTAACTATCCCTTTCCGTTTTTGCTTACGCTCTTATCAAATGGTGATTCTTTGCGATAGAACGAGACGATATGACAGGCAATGGATAGTTAACACTGTTGCCGATGGTACATACAAGGTAATTTTGTAATCAGTAAGGTCAACCGAGGCAAGTGTGACACATTTTGATATCATGCTCAGTTAACATCCACATATTTTTATTCTTTAATTGGGGTAAAATTTCAAAAGATTCGTCATTAATGTTCTATAAATGATGATTTATGTCACTAAGCAAATTTAGCCCTATAGCGCCGCAATATCTGACAAAATGTAATAAAACACACACTGTGAAACTGTCACACTTCCCACATTTAACCGGGGTAAGTGTAACACTTGCAATTTTATTTTACTATAACTTTATTATCTTTGGTTCAAAGAAATATATTTTGTGAAGGATACTTAAATCAGCATATTTTAGAGTCTATTTCACTTGTATGGTTTTTATTGCATAATATGAATTTTTGCCTTGACCAAGGCAAGTGCGCCAATTTCCTACTAAAATAGTGATGTGCTTATTTTATCGACGACGATTTCCTTTTTTTGGTGATTTTCGAGCTCGGCTCGGCGCTTACCGAGTCACGGTCTCAACTAAAGAACTCGTTTACCCCAGCGGTTATTAGTTGTTCGACAGGCATGATCAGTACACTGCCACTTAAGCTTGGTTACCCGGAGTGACGCTCAAAAGTTTAGTGGTTAGAAGTGAGTGAGAACACTCAATTTAGTTGGCCAAATATTGTCCAGCCCAGCTAGATCTTCCTATCAGGGGGCGTAATGTGAGTTTACGTTAAACGCATTCGATGTAGACTGCATAAAAAGTGACATTAAATGTATGACGGATTGTATAGCGGTCCTAGCGGAAACTTTCAGGAACTAAAATCTTTATATATTTTTTAACGCGCTCGCTAGTGACGACGTTTGATATAAACTCACACTAAGACCTCAGTGCACTGCTACTTAAGCTTTCTAATCCGGAGTGACGCTCAAAAGTTTAGTGGTTAGAAATGAGTGAAGACTCGACTTAGTTTGCCAAATACCGACAGCCCAGCTAGATCTTCCTATCAGCTAATCGAAAGCGTCTTCTTAAATACACCATGCATATGCTCATCGCCCACAAGATGTCCACCTTGTCGGCGACCGACGACCTCATAAAGGTAGCAGGAATGCGCTGGACGCAGGCCGCTACCAACCGGGTAACATGGAAAACATTGAGGAGGCCAATGTTCAGCAGTGGAAGTCCTACGGCTGAGATGATGATGATGTGCTATGCTAATCGAAGGCGTCTTCTCAATAATACACCATGCATATGCTCATCGTGCCACGTTTCCCACAGATTCGTACATCGGCATGGACCAGCAGCAGGACATGAAGCTGGACGTGAAGGAGGCGGCCGCCGTCCCCGTGGAGCACCCGCAGTGGGACCTCAGCGACTCCGACACCGACAACAACGACCAGGTCAGTGGACATGTACAATTGTACACTCACCGTGTCACATCCCCTTTATGGTGCGTCCAGACTGGGCGAATGGGCTCGCGCGGCAAACTCAACATCCTGTGGGCTGAGTGTGAGTTTAAAAAATATATGAAAATTTTAGTTTTTGATAGTTTCCCGCTAGGGGCGCTGTACAATTTGTCATACATTTAATGTCATTTGTTGACGCGCTCAAAAAAACTCACACTCAGCCCTCTGCTCACTCAAGAGCAGAGTGAGTAGAATGACCAGCGTGCCGCGCGAGCACGTTCGCCCAGTGTGGACGCACCATTAGACGAAAGGTCGGTTAAACTCAAAAGTGCTTGTGCACACCACGTTTTTTAAACGCGCCGATGAAGCACGTTTTAGAAACGCTCGTCGACGATGCGCTTTATTCCCATAAGGCCGCTGCCTCAATTTTGCGGGCAGTGGCGCGGCGGCGGTTGCGTTTGAATGGCAAGATGTTTTGCGTAAAATCAAATAGACCAAACTGTGGAATGGACTGTCGTCTGCGGTGTTTCCGGACAGATACGACCTGCAAGCTTTCAAGAAGAGAGCGTATCTTCACCTTAAGGCGATTAGAGTCCTCAATGACCTTGAGCGTTTGACCTTCACGCTTCGCACAACACCCGCGCACCCCGCACGAAAACTCCGATTTGACACCGATCAAAATTACACGGGCATAGGTAGGTACAGAAAAGAAGCTCTTTCTTCATACATTACTGCCTATTATTTTAAACTTGAATTGATGAACCTTGATGTCGATGTCATTCAACACAGGCGCAAGTGATGGCCCGAAATGTTCTAAACTAGCGCACCGTATAGTAAGGTATTTATATTTAGTTTTGTATGCTCTAAAAAGAATAGAATAAAAAATAAAGATTCTATCATTACTCAATTTATATGACTAAAAGCTCGTCGCGAGATTTACTTGTGTAAACAGAAATACATTCATAACGTAACTTAATTTTAAAGTAAATCTAAAAAAAACACGGATAGGTAAATAATAGGTACATCTACAAGAACTTACCTAAATCTCGTAACAAGCTTTTAGTCAGATAAATTGCGTAAGGACAGAATCTAGGTATATAATATACCTTGATTTTTTAGAATCCAGCAGAGATGTAAACAAACACTTTCATACACAATTACACCATAATCACTTAGGTGTTCATAATATCATACACATTATTTAACAAGCCCATGAAACCAACTTTATTTTCACGTTTAAACAAGTTTGAAATCAATCTTTGAAACAAATTATTTTAGCAAAATACGTGGACGATGTGAATTTGTGAGACTTGTCAAATTGACTTGACGTTTAAAATCATGTGTTATCTCCATATTGTCTATGACTTGTCTCTGACACATCAGTGCTGTAACCTATGAGTCATAGACAATAATCTGTAAATTTAATCGATATTATTTTAAGTATTCACTTATTCCGATTACTGATTAATTTTAAATAAAAAATATACGATACTTTGTTTAGTTTTCCAGCGATAACTTCGACAATATTGGAGATAACGTAAAATTATTTTTCGACTTTTAGTGTATACTTTTTCGGAGTCAGTTTAATTTTTAGTCGGTTTTATTTAAACGAAATTATTTTACTTTTTTATGCAATTATGCTTACGTATTTTCCTACATAAGTAAATAAAATAAAAGAATTTTGCAACTATTTGAAGTTTAATAACTTTACGGATATCATTGATTGTTTTACTGTCCAGTGTGTTTTTTGATTACATCTGTGCATACAGTTTGTTTCCTGTTCTCGAAACTTTCATAATCAGTTCACATTCAGTGTTGCGACTTTGTTGCATATTTTTAGTATTTTGACGATCACCCGGCGATGATACGCAAGTACTACAATAATTTCACTTCGCGATTAACGAGAGGTTTTGTCGCATCACTAGTTCACAGACTAAAAATATTTTTATGTCAGTTGGCCATTTTTGATGACATTTCTGCTGATTTCTAAAAAATTAGACTGTAGAAAAAGACACGTTCCAAATTAGTGAAGGAATGTTAGATAGATACTTATCACTGCATTCATTTTCAAAGCTCTCATGGCCGCATATTTCATCGAACCATTTTTTCGAGGCATTTTCATAAACTCAATCAGATGTCGTTATTTATGTCGGTATATGCGCGAAATAAAGACTTTGAATTACGTATTATTGCATACTTATAATCTTTTATCTGAGCTTTTATCTCAAGAATAAAATTGTCATTTTGACAAAATATTTCCCATACGGAGACTGTCAATAGGCCAATTTTATTCTCCATTTAAAAGTTTCGATGCATTCAAAAATCATAAAATAACTAAAAATATAAGGTTCATAGTACCAACGAAAAAACAGATCAGGTTCCTAAGTCAACGCGCATATATTTTTGGGTTCCGAACCTCAAAAGGAAACAACTAATTATTTAACCCTTATAGGATTACTCTGTTATTCGTCCGTCTGTCTGTCAAGACCCTTTTTTCATATGTATAGATAACAGCACTTAACATAAAAAATATGGTCTCAATGTCGACTTTCAGTAGCAACAGCTTTCAATAGCTGCAGATTTTGAAACAATATTTATTTTGCAAAAACGTGCGATAAGATACTTGTATAAAATGAAAGCAAGAGCATCCCTTAGAGAATTGTTTAAAGAAATTGGCATTCTCACGGCCGACTTCACAATACATCTTAAACTGTATTCTATTTATTCAAAAAAATATTACTGAATTCAAAAAGAAAAGTGATATTCACCAAATTAACACTAGAAATAAAAATAAATTGGCTATTCCCGCTTTTAGACTTAATAAAGTGTTTGCCTTTTTTATAGGACAAGGTATCCATTTTTATAACAAAGTCCCTGATAAATATAAAGAGCTACCGTATAATAAATTTAAAGATATAGTTAAAGATCACATGCTTAAAAAAGCCTATTATACAACTCGAGATTTTCTTAATGATAAGTCATCCTGGGAGTAGGATTATGGTCCTCTCATGCTCGCACTAAAAAGAATTAAAATGAAAAGTAATGTATAATAAACTCATAATATTTTCTCAAATGTTATAGTGTCATGCTTCTCAATCTGGACTGTTACTTAGCTTTATTTTTAGTTTTTTATTTTAAAGAGATAACTTGGAATTGTCATTCTCACTAAAATGTCTCTGGGGTGGTGGCGTAGTGAGGCGGGTCGTTACATTCCCTCTAATATGGTCGAGTGAAGCGATGGCTGGTTCACTCGTCATGTCTGTGAACAGGCGCTGCTTTCGGGGACTGGTCAATCCAAGAATCATGGTATAAATTTGACCTAGTAAATAAATAACGGAA